AAAAAAAAAAAAAAAAAAGCTAGACATCTCGGTGAGAGGATAATATTGCTCACTTGTACCCTTTTTTCTCCCCCTAGTAAAAAGAAAAAACTCACTTGATAATGTTAGGTCCAGTGAATTTTTTCAAAGTAATTTGGAGGCCAACAAAATGCCTCCCATTCCAGAACTGTGGGATCGACAACACACAGAATTAAAAGGAGTGATAAAATGGAAGGGACTTTGGAACTTAACAGGTTTCAACTGCATGGAATTGAAGTCCCATTTAAATAATGGTCAGTAGGTCCATTGCTACTTATTTAAAGAGCTCAAAGCCCTATCCTATATGATCTCCTTGGTTCTTGCAACTTGGCAGAAGATAAGGTTTTGGGGATAGAGAACAGAATAAGTGTTTTCCAGGTGTGAAATTTGAGATTCAAAGAAGCTGATTCAGAATCTTCACTCACATGCAAGTCTTCCAGAAAAGAGGTATACTTTACCTACTGCATTAAGGAGAAAGTAGAGGGGCGCCTGGGTGGCTCAGTCGGTTAAGCGTCCGACTTCAGCTCAGGTCACGATCTCACGGTCCGTGAGTTCGAGCCCCGCGTCGGGCTCTGGGCTGATGGCTCGGAGCCTTGAGCCTGTTTCCGATTCTGTGTCTCCCTCCCTCTGCCCCTCCCCCGTTCATGCTCTGTCTCTCTCTGTCCCAAAAATAAATAAACATTAAAAAAAAAAAAATGGAGAAAGTCGAAACTGTGCAGCACGGACTCCTTCAATTCCCTCCCCTTCACCTCAAACTAATCTGTTCCTAACTACCCTTCCTCCCTTTCTATCGTCCTAGAGGGAAGCATTTTGGACATTCTTTCCAAAACTATCCTTCTATATTTGCTCTTGATTCTCTCCCTTTCTATTCTTCGGGGCCCTCTCCCTATCCACCCCCATTTTCGTTTGTTCATTTATTGGTTCAACAAAGCATTTATCACACTCTTGTTACAGGTCATACTAGGTTCTTGGGACACTAGAACAAAAGACCTCTTTCCTACCTTCACAGCGCTCACAGTCTAGTGGAAGAGGTAGCAAAATGGACAATTTCAAACCGCACAGTGACGCTACAGCATGTAAATAGCCACAGCAGAAGTCTGCATATTACGCGGTTGTTGTACACACAGGACAGTTTAAAGAAGGCCGGAGCAGAGCGGGTAACACGTGAGCCGGACCTAGACGTTAGCCACCGGGACAAGTGGGGAAGGAACGGCGTTTTAAACGGAGGGAATAACATGCACCAAAGCGTGACCATGCGAGAAAATCGCAATCCAGGAAGGCAAACAACACAAGGAATCAGAGGTGTGTTTGGAGGGAAGCAGTGAGGGAGCATTTGAACAAATCATAAGGATCTTGAAGACGATAGGAATTATTCAAGTATCTTAAATATTTAAGTATTAAAGTACGGTCTAATTTGCATTTGAGGAAGTTCAGTCTTGCAGCAGAGGACGATTAGACTGAGAACTATTGCAGTAACCCTGAAGACAAATGGGCAAGTGGGAGTGCACGGTGATGCCATTAGAAGAGGTGATTCAGAAAGAGGCAGACTTCAATGTAAAGGGGAATCCAGTTTAGGGACACACAAGTGAAGGTGTCCAACAGAATACTGGTTATATGAGTCTGCAATTTAAAAGTTAGGAGTGCCTGGGTGGCTCAGAGCCCCACATTTGGGCTCTGTACTGACAGCAAGGAGCCTGCTTGGGATTCTCTGTCTCCCTCTCTCTCTCTGCCTCTCTCTCTCTCTCTCTCCCCAAAATAAACAAATCAGGGGCACCTGGATGGCTCAGTCAGTTCAGTGTCTGACTCTTGGTTTCGGCCCAGGTCACGAGCTCATGGTTCATGAGTTCAAGCCCCGCTTGGAGCTCTGCTCTGACAGCACAGAATCTGCTTGGGATTCTCTCTCTCTCTCCCCCTCTCTCTGCCCCTCCCCTGCTCGGGCGCACACTGCCTCTCAAAATAAGTAAATGAGTAAACTTAAAAAAAATAAAGAAATAAACATTAAAGAATTTTAAACTAATATTGCCCTGTATGTGAACTAATCAGAATTTAAATAAAAACT